AGAAAAGGGAAATAGATGAGGAATAGGGTAGAAAAATAGGTTGTTTGATTTAAGTAAGAGAGTAGAAATACTTACATTTGCGATTTTTTTGTTTTCTTACATTTTATTTAATGTACATTCCTTGTAATCGATAATGATATTTGTCATAATCGATTATATGGGATCCAATGAGTCTAAAGCATCGCACACATAGCCTGTTTAGTCACCACCAAAGAGGGCATTAACGCATACATTGTCAAATTACCTAGTGTGGCAAATAGGATTTTTTGATTGCATAGCATGAACTCAAATTGCTTATTCTTTCAGGTGACAATAGTAGCCTCTTGTGATCTAGAGTTTATATGCTGGAGCACGATCTTATAGTGTTCACTCTCGTTTATTGATTGGATTATGGCTGTTTCTATCTGTCACTGGACATGGAGGATGAAACAATTAATTTAGACAATGTAGACGGATATCTTAGGAGTTTGATTGAGGAGTGTAGTTATGGAAATCTTTTTGGAAAGCAATGTAGATAAAAAAGGTGCATTAGGAGTTGAAAGTAACTAACCGAGAATAAAGAACGATGATGAACTAGGGATAGGTCGTAGTTGGACAAATAGATGATTTCTATAGTTTTTCATTCATAATCATTGTTGTTTATTCCTTGCTTTTTCTTTTGGATTATCTTTTTCTCGTTTACAATTCCTTTGTTCTTGACCTTTTCGCATCTTTTGTTGAGTGTACTCCTTTGTAGAGCTTGTTATAATCATGTTAATATTTTGTATGCTGAAGTTCCCATATTCAATAGGGAGATTACATCCTTTCTCTTTGACCTCTTGTCCTCAAATATAATTTATATGTAAATGATTGTGTTTGCTATTCTTTTTTTCTGTTGGATTAAGAATGACCACTTAATGGTCGGGCAGCTCTTATTGATTAGTATAGAGACATGGTGTGTTCTACAGCACATTGTATAATACTTTATATCCACGGTCTATATGTAGGAGCTTAAAATGTAATTTTTGTGTGTTTAGTAATATAATTTTTTGTCAGTGTTTTGATTAAAGTATATATCTTTATTACCTTGGACCAACTATGGAATAGACATACAATAATATATAGATAATCGAAGAAATGTGACTTCCTTATAGATTTGATTAAGAATTTTTAATTATAGCAACAAAAAGCGGCTGGTAAATTCTTTGGTATGTTATGAATATTTGCTACAAAGGAAAATAGAATTGTTAATTTTATGTATATATTGTCATAAATTGATTCATGTTGTTGTCCCTTGGATGTGGAATAGTAGGGCCCTACATGAGAAGCTTGTGTCTAACACTCTTTGAATTGTGTTCGTCAATTTCTTGAGAACAGAGGGGATTTGGGTCTCTTATTTATTACCTGAAAGTCTGGTTGTAAGTGAAACAACAAATTTTGAAGGTTATTGCATATATGTCCTATTTGTTTAAGCAAGCTAATAGAAGTTAATTCTGTGATACATCTTTTTGTATATATTTTTTTCCCAGAAGCTAGAAGCAACTTTTTGAGTCCACCTCGAAAAACTTACATATATATTGTAATTTTCTGATACATCTTTTATTTATGTCTTTCTTCCATACGCTATTTATTTTCTCTTCTGGATAAAAACTCTGAAGCAACTTTAGAGCCCGGAATATAATTTTTTTAACGTATCAGTTTTAAAAATATTTTTCCTTGTAAAAGCAAATGGACCCTTAACGACATGCTTTTGGAAGTCTAATATATAATCTGTTAAAACTTTAAATGTTCCTCGGAGTTTCTGGTGGATTCTGTAGAACAGCATAAGCTTTACTGTTCATATTTTTTTTTTCCTGCTTATCCCTCTTGTTTGCATTGACATCAGTGATGTCTATTATATTCATCAGCTCATGCCTATTGCGGATAGGGTCATAATTTACTAATTTGTTAAATGCATTGTATTTAAAATTGAGATTTTCCCCAGGAGGGGGGCACAATTGTGAATATGAGATTTTCCCCAGGAGGGGGGCACAATTGTGAATACAATGTGAACCAGTGCATCCTACCTAAATAAAAAGTTGTTTTTAAGCTTAAACTATTTCGTTGAGAGTGGGCAATGGGCTCATTCATGTTAGGTGCTTCATCTAGGCCTTGGGTTGGAGTAGGTAGCCACCCTGCTTAAATGTTAGTGTCATGCATTGGTGTTCAATATGTGGACTATTACTGATTCCAGTTTCATGTTTCCCCAGACATCCCATGCTGTCTGACCATATAAGATAACAATGTCTGGATTAGGTCTGACGGCAGCAAGAGATTCCTAATCTTTTTGAATGCGTTTTCCATGTCTATGTAAAAAAAATGGTCTTGGTTTTTTCTCACCGTTTCATATTTTTTTCTGTCCTATATTTCCTTGGTAAGTGATTTTCTTTATATTTGCAACACAGTTTTTTTTTTTTTAAAACTTTTACAGCTGTGATATTCTCATTACCTTGAGATGTCGAAATTTTGATCTTGGAATTTGATTTTCAATAGTTCCCAGCCAATTTTGCTAAAGCGTGGTTTTTGAACCCTTCCATTTTTTCCACTTAAATTGTTTTTCATGCTTTTTTATTCATTTTTGCAGATTCCTCATAAGTGCATCAGTATTTTATTACTGGCCTGGTGATTCTTCTGAAGTTTAAGGAGCTGATGCAATTGGCGTGTTTATAATGAAATGTTACTTACTAGAATTATCAGAACATTTAAAATATCAAATGGAGTTATGTTTTCGCCACGACTTTTTCTTGTTTTCTTCCGTTTCAAAATATTGTAGTATTTTGACTTGTTTAACTTTAAAAAAATCCTATGGAACTGTTTTTGTATTGCGAGTTAACGTTTTATCTGAATTATGGAGGAGCTTGGGATGCTGAACAAACTATATTTTGAAATTTATGTTTGTATTGACCGTTGCGCTTCAACTTGGTATTCATAAGTAGCTTCAAGTGTTTTATATCATTTAACTGATACTGTTTTCCTCTGTTTTTACTATTTTATTTGTTTCTTACTTTACCTTTTCATTCTTCTTTAACCTGTGATCATCAAAATGAAATGTCATTGTATGTCAAGTGCTTTAGGATATCAATATCATCATCCCCTTGAGACGATAGGTTAAGCCAACATATCAAGTCATTTCTTTTTCATTTTGTTTTTATTTTACTTCTGTTAACAGTGTGTGCACCTAATCTTTGCAGTTATTTTGCAGGTTTGATGGCCGTGCTTTAAATATTCACCAATGTAATTTGATTAGGTTAAAAATAACAAAATAAACATGATTTTACATTTTTGAGAAATTTTTGTATTTTGTTTGGTTCTTTATTCTTTTCTACCTCTTTACAGCCGGAAAACACACA